TTTACAGATATTTTATAAAAAATATATTATTTTATATTTGGTCACGATGATAAAAAATAATTATTACTTTAGTTATTTTAAAGTTTTAAAATATCTTTATTAATTTGTGTTTTTTTAAAAATGATTTACTATTCTATTATTTTAAAATGTTATGATATCTTCACATATCCCATTTAAAATGCTCTGTTTTATCTACTGCATTAAATTACTTTCATAAGCTACTTATAGCTTCTTAAAATAATCAAAAATTTACTTTTTTTTTTGAATTTTGATTATTTTTAAAAATTTAAACAAACATAATAACAATTTACAGAAGCATTTTTTTTTCAAAAAATAAGTAATTTTTTTATAAAATAAGCTAAAACAAATCAATCTGAAAGTGATTTATGCTAACTTTGATGAATTTGGGATTATATTGAAGTCGCGAAAAATTATTTGCTCAATTTTTAAACAGCGAGGCATGGCCTGGTTTAACCGTGGAAAGGGGGGGTTTTGGTTGGTTGGAATGAGGGTCAAAGTTGACTGGTGCACAGTCTCCCACAAAACGGGTAAAACATGCAGGCCACTTCTTTTTTTCTGGTCGGGGTCAACATAAGATGTCTATGTATCTGTCTCTATTTTTTGTTTTTGTGGGGATCCGATAATAAACGGAAGCGAATTAGAACAAGGCTTGCAATGTAACTCGTTCCCTGCTGGGTGGGACCATCTTCCCACCAATCATCGCCTACAAATCAAAAAGACTTAGTCTCCCAAGCAGGGACCATCTTTCTCTTTCCCTCTTTTCCCCTTCACTCCTCTACCACGCATGTCTTCTTCACTTCCTTCTCGCGTTCTTGTTTACTCACAACTCACCATTATCATCATATATTATATCTTACTGATGCAAATACGACCGAGTCAGATTCGATCATTTTCAGGCTCAATTGAGGGTATTTCTCTTATATCAAAATCGTATAGGTTATTATTCCTCAAGTTAATGCAATTTTTTTAATCATCATTATATATATATATATATATATATATCCGTTGCGAATGTTTGGAAGGGGATTGATCTATTTTTTTAAATGTTATTAATTTTTTATTCTTTTACCAGAGAAAATGCATAAAATTTTCATATTTTCTTTGGAAAATATTACAAAAATATGAAGGGATGCATAATGTTACTTTATTGTTGTAATGAACAAAGAGCTCCTTCCAAGTAATAATACCAAAACTAGAAAGTAGAAACAAACTTTCCCTATCACCAAAATTTAAAAACAATGTTTCAAAAAATTATTGCACTTCCATTCAGAATCGTTAATTAATTAATACAATCCTTTTCACCTACCTCTCAAATAATTGTACACGCTCAGTGTTCTGTGAAAAGAACTTCTTATGAAATATTTACCAAATACACATCACATCTCTTTCCCCACATATTTTCTAAACTTCATTCGACAAAATAAAAAAAATAAATCCCACTCCAAATTAAACACGCAGAAGTTTACCAAAATAATATGCAGAAATCATCAATCCCTACTCTCCAAACGATCATGTGAGAAAATATTCCCTGGAAATTGCCAAGATATAAATTTAAAAAAAATACTTATAATAGTAGTAACAAAAAAGAAAATCATTAATTAATCATCACGACGACAATGCTTATATTAAATTAAAATAAAAGCAGGCACTCAAACAGAGCTAATTAATGCGCAGGTATCTCTACCAAAATCAAATATTAGTGCAACTAATCATGAAGATGATCACCATCATCATTTTAATTTTCTGCTTCTTGAAGCATAAAATTTGCATTATATATCTTGGACGGCTTAGGGCAACGGATTAGATCATAAAGATACACTCAAGGCCAATGAAATGAGTAGGTGAATAAGGTTCATATAATATGAACATATCTTCTTATCCTTGATTTATTTGAGACCAAGAAAAAATAAAAAAAATAAAAAAATAAAAAAGAAGAAGAATGAACATATACAAGATGGTTAATTAATCATGCGGAGGGAAAACGATAGATGGATGGGACTGAATGGGAAATATAGATGCACCAAAAACTATATAATAAGTAATTAATAAATTAATCAATGAAATGATGATGTAAGGGAAAAAGAGAAAAGACAAAAGATGGTAGGAGGAGTAAGATATGATTGAAATAAAGCATGAGGTAAGCACAGGACCCTCCATAAAAGATGATGCACGACACATGGTACAAAGCCGGTGACCCATAAATGAATTCAAAAGAAACTCAGAATGATATGAACACAGCACCATTATGAGGCAATCATTGGCTCAGTCTTCAGGTTAGAGCCACACTAAAATGCTTTAAAAAAAACAAAAAGAAAAGAAAAGGGAAAGAAAGAAAGAAATTGTAAATCATATCTGATATATTTGTGGTATATTCATATTATATATATACACATAGGTAGGGATAATTACTGAATCAATAAAAGGAAGAAAGGGAAAAAAAGTAAATTTGTTGAGTTCATAAAGCATCCTGAAAGAAGGGAGAACATAGTAGGGCTATGAATACGACATCACATCTTAATTTTATTCATATATCTCTTCTCTAACTTAACTTTATTTGATGAGAAATTTGTTTATACACCAAGTAAAATTCACTCACATTTGACATCGCAGTAGCAACGTAGGTAGGAAGAAGAAGAAGACTTGGTTTTTGATAGTTGGCAAATCTTGATAATGGGGTTAGAGGGAGCTTTATCTAGTGTTAAAGGAGAAGGGGGGACAAGTGGCTGATGGTTACATCAGAGAGCCTTATCTCTCTTTCTATCTGATATGTATTATTAAGGAGGAGGAGTTTGGGTTCAAGTGAACTAAGGGAACCACCACGCAATAACCATGTATTGTGCAGTGCATGGCATGGGGTTATGTGCTTTTATCTTGGGACAGGATCATCAAAAGGCTGCTTTTTAGAGCCAACCTTGGCTCACTCATTTGCGTAAAGCCTTCGAATGCTTATCCTCTGATTGTGAGTTATCTGTTTCTCCCATTATCTTCTCCCTCTCCCTTTTCTCTTTTCACCATTGGCTTCTGCCTTAGTGCATTTTTTTTTAAATTATAAACGTATGATTAGATGGAATTCAAATCAACTCACCATTCTGATATATATATATATATATATAACTAAACAGGTCAAATCCTAATAAGTAATATATATATATATATATATTCAACCATGAATAAGAAAAAGGAAAATCAATAAGGTGAATTAATTAATAATATATTTTATTTAATTTATTAGAAAGGTACTTCATTTGATCATTTGGCTTTAAGGGTCAGGCCAACCCCTATTAATTAGAGTTTTTTTTTCCTTACAAAAATTGTAGTTTGTGTGTAATAATTGAAGGAGCAATTGCTTTTTATACCAAAATGAACTCCTTTAATTAATTTTGTGGAAAACTTTTATCAACTTTTCTAATTAACCAAGAGATGTATATATGACCTTCACTAATTAAAAGACATAGGTTAATAATTTCTCTCATGCACGTTTGCAAAATCAGCATCGTTCTTTTATCATGTCTGCGTGTGTGGTTGGGATTTGGGACTAATTAATATGTAATCGTGTGATTATCTAGACAACATAACTTTCAAAAAATGACATAACTAATTAACATTGAATATACAATATTATGTCAAACCATATATATATATATATATTGGATCACACATATTCTACAACTACATTGCTAGTCTTGTATATTGCACAGGGTTTTTAAAACGACTCGTAGTATTTATAACCTGAAATTAAGTAATATAACTTCACCAAAAATTGATTTTTTGGGAGCGTATCATTATGAGAATTTCATAGGTCGGCTTGTCCATCACCGCTTTTTTCTTTTTTGGGTGATTATCTCACTGATGGGTCTAAACACCACAAAGTTTAGCCAAGTGGAACCAGGTCCTTCATAATTTTCTTAGCTAGTGATATGGCACGAGAGTGAAACACATATTCAAAGGTTATATGATTTTTTTTTTGACAGAAAAAGGTTATATGGCTTTTAACGAGAGAAATTTATACAAGGAAAATGAAAAATCAAACGAGAGACGATCCGACTTTAATTTTTTTTCTTCTCTCTCTCTCTCTCTCTCTCTCTCTCTATATATATATGTATGTATATATATGCATGCCTTGCACAAGACAGAAGACAAGCGGGTTCACATTCACTTGAATAAGAGTTATAAATTAAAGTCAAGCGCTTAAATAAAAGAGTTATAAATTCTGGGGAGGGGCCAAAAGACAAGCGGGTTCACATTCACTTGAGCGATTCACTTTTACTTTTGATTATAGCACTTTTCATTTCGTTTTGACTTTTCTTCCCATGCATAATTATCACGCGATGATATAATTAATTTCTCGCGTATATTATAATATCCACAGTCAATTAACGTTGATTTAAAAAGTCAATCATTTTGTATTTATAATCCAATTATTGGCATGTGAAGATATCTTCTGTATTTTTGGGATGATTTTATATACGTGTGTCCACGGACACGATTCAATAAAGTCAAGAGTATACATCGCAGAAACATTTAAAGATATTTATCTTTTAGCACTTTTTACATGCATCGGGTATATGTTAAAAATGTTATATAACTAGAAGTTCATTAAAATATAATTTCTCTGTTACATAACTCTATTCACTTTTGATGAATGAAATGGAATCAGACCAGAATAGCATATTCTTATAACCACAGTGTCGGGCTCTCTCTCTCTCTCTCTCTCTCTTTTCACCAACTTGTAACGCTGACGTCATGAAGATAATTTTTTTTTTCTTTGGTAAATAGAAGATAAATTTTACTTTTAAGGTTGCCTTTATATCCCTCCCTGTCGTGCATAACACATATGAAAACACCACGAATAACCTTTCTTTAATTCGAATACAGGAAACTATGGATCATTAGCAAGGAAGGAATCAGTCAAGGATAATGATGATTACGTGTAGTGCAAATTAATTGAAGTATAATTAAGTAATTAGGAAACAAATATATATAAGTAGTTAATAGCCAAATTCGTAGATTTCAAATTACTAAAAATAATTGAGCATCATCATGAGTACGCGCGCGCGCGCGCACACATGGTTCATGTATAGAAATTCAGAAAGATATAAAATGGCTAATTATTTGACTCGAGCATCCACAGAAAATATACTATGCCAGTACATAAACAGCAACAACATATTATATGTGACTGTGAAATGATAATAGAGGAGGCCCATATAATATGACATAAGAAGACCCTAACGGCTAGTGTAAATAATTGACTGTGCCTGACAGTTACAATTTCTATATCGTACAGGCAAAAGTAACCACACCATTGTAGCGCACGCTACGTACTGTATCTTCAAGTGCTTTTATTTGCATGCCTCCTCCACTCAGAAAAGTAATTAATTGCTCTTTTTAGGTTAAATTATATTTCTTCCTTCTTTCTTTCTTTCTTTCTTGCTGCTTCTTTTTGGCCTTCTCGTTGTGTTAATTAAACCTTTTGATCTCCACCACTGGGGTTCGCGTTCCTCTGTTCTTTCGCATCATTCTTTGCATCTTCTGGGACCATAGTGCCCAGCTTCATAACATCAATGACATGGTCAGAAGATAACTCTTGAACCTTCACCGGATCCTCCAGAACCACTGGCTTCGCGTTTCTGTACATTATGTACAGCACCATCTGAACTATGCCGAACAGAAACCCGAGAGTGTTTGGCAGCTGCGAAATATCAAAATCCAAAGATAATTTCATTAGCATGAAAGAATAAAAAGACGAATTGATCATTAATATGAATGAAACCCACGCATTTATGTCACACACGCTGTTTAATTATTGATCGGGTCATCATCTTATCATGACATTAATGAACTAAGCGTGCCTATATTTAATTGGCAAATCATAAAACAACTTTAAAGAATTTCTTTTGTCCCAAAATATAAGACAATTTAAGAAAAATAAAGTTCATTAATGATACTTTTTTAAGATTACCTTTTAAGTGGAGAAAAAATTAAAATGATAATGTAAAATAATAATTAATTGTGTAGGAGTATTTTTGAAGGTTTGTAGTTTTGTTTTGAAAATGCAAATTTATAAAGTGTCGTTATTTTGTTATTTCGTAAGTCTCATATAAAACCAATAAAAAAAGTTAAAAAGTTTCCGCCTTTGGGAATGAAAAATATTGAAGAATAAACTTACAGCAATGAAATAGTCTTTGAGGAAAAGGCCATAGAAGAACCACATCACAGCGTTTGCAGTCAGGAACATGGACAGAGTAAATGGCATGTATTCAACACTCCTGGTCTTTATAACTTTTCTCTGCACGGATTATAATAATAATAATAATAATTAATAACAAAGTACATGCCAAAACGAAATTATATAAAGAAGAGAATTTGAAAAACAAATTTCATACAATGATCAGGAGAGGAGCACCGAAGACACTGATGTTAACCACCAGGCAAATCCATCCTATAATCTGATAACGTGTTGCTTGTCTGTGGACGAGATACAGTGTGGACAGAAGCATGGCTCCGAACCCGAACACATTCATTAGCATAAGAAGCTTAATCGTCGCGAGCTGCGAATTGTTCGCAGAAAGGAAAAGTTTAATAAAGCATTATATATATTGAAAAAAAAAACAGAGAGAGAGAGAGGGATTACAGAATTCTCTATAAAATTATATTTATTTATATATATATATACATACCCTGAGCTTCTTGGGAGCATAGAAGAGGAAAATGGCAAGGTAGATTATCTCGACTACGATTCCATAGGAGTTAATGGTGATGAGAAGCAAGGTGGTGCTGTTCTTGACAAGCGCATAGTAAATCCAGAGCATGCAACTGAATAGAGCGACCACATAAGGGTAGGACTGAAACCCTTCAGCAGATTTCTTCTTATAGATTAGGTAAAAGGTCGGCCTGCAATATACATAATCATGATATTATGATTAATTAACTTAGCCAGCTTCACTGATTTAATCATCCAATATGAAAGCAAAATGAAACTTCAATGATGCTTACATTGGAGCAAGGAACACCATAAAAGAGATGATGTTGCCTGCAATAATAGCACAACAAAGGAAAGAGAAATCAGTATATATACTTCATTTGGATTACTGAATAGCGAGTCTTTGACCCACAAAATTTCCCAGTAATTAATAGAAAAAAAAAATTGAAGGCTATCATATTTATTTTCCTTCTACATGCAAGTGTATGAAGTACCGGAAGAAGAACAAGATTAAAAGAATATAAGAGGACGTGATCGATACATAATGGACATGAAACTAAACTATACTCATGAAGTAATGATAAACACGTAACGTGAAATCTATACCTAGAAGGCCGAAAATGAAAGCCAATTGGTGCTGGTGAAGGGCCATATTGTATGTGTTGAAGATCTCTCTCTCTCTCCCTCTCCCTCCCCTTCCCTGTGTGCTGTGTGTGTGGAAAAAAGTGATATAGAGAATTCTCCGATAGATCTCACGGTGAAGGCTCAAGGTAATGACCACTTGTGCCTCTCTGTGTCTCTCTTCTATCTCTCTCCCTCTCTCTCTCTCTCTCTGTTCCACGAGTAAGCATTGTAAGAAATGGAGGGGTATTTATAGTGGGAAAAAAGGTGGTCAAGTTGCAAAACGAGAATGCGAAGCTTCACACATACATGGCTTTAAATTGCTTTCCAGTTGTGCTCCCAAACACCTCTGGTTCCATCTTACCCCATTATACATGCTCTCTATTATATGTAACCTTATTTGGGTTATATCTCTCAATGGCACCATCCCTCCCTCGGGGTAACTCGTGGTAGCTTGTACTATTACTAGTACATACGCAAAATTCCTGTGGGCCCACCTGTATCCTTTATGATGTGTCAACCACCAAGTGGTTGTTTTAAGCCTTACAACTCATACATATAATATATATTCCAGTTTTAATAACATGATTTTCTTGCTCTTTCTCGATGGAACAGTTATTACTTCTCCATTAAATGTTTACTTGGGTTTACCCTGTATTGCCACCTTTGGCAATTTTTACTTGGTTTTCAAGGTCCGTCCTCGTCAACCCTGGTTAGCCGCAATTCAATTTGCGTCCTTTCCTTCAATTTTAGATGAATTAATTAAAGGCTTTTTTTAATATATTTTTTGGGGGTATAGCTAGCTATCTTCCACCACCATCTCTTTATTCCTTCATTTTTTTTAATTCTAGCTAGCTATCAACTAATTAAAACTTAATTATACGACTATAATACATCAGCTTTAATTTAATTTCAAAGGTGCTAGTATATATATGTCATCTGATATAATTCTTTTTCCCAAAAAAAAAAAATCAATTCTGAAATATCACAGAACATGCATGCTCCTTTTTTTTTTTGGGTCAGATAACATGCATGCTCCTTAACTCTGATAATAATGTAACAAAATGTATACTACTCGAACTTTTGAGGTGGTATTTGATATATATCTTGTGCTGAAGGAGAGTACTTCATGGCATTTTTTTTCGGAATAAATACTTCGTGACATGTTGATAATCAAATCATATAAAGTTTAGACTTAGAGGCCTGGTAAAATGTAGTTTAATTCTTTTTTCATGTTCTAAATGATAGAGAAAAATTTAAACCTTAATAAAAATATCCTCCCTAATTAATGACAGGCGCGATTAATTAGAATCGTTTGGTAACTTCGATTACAACTTACTAATTATATATATAAATCTAAAGTACAAATCGAAACGTCTCTCTCTCTCTCTCTCTCTCTCTCACCTCCCCCCAATGAAGCCTTCTATTCTCTCTCTCTCTCTCACACCCCCCCCCCCAAAAATGAAGCCTTCTAATCTAACTCTCAGTGTTGCTTTAATTTAGTAAGAGGCGTAGCCATGAAATTTTGTTGAGGGGCCAAAATGATAAAACATATATGATAATTGAAACAAGTTAAATTTATATATCACTAATATAATATAAATATTTCAAACTATATGTTTATATTCATTTTCACAGGCGCGCACACACACACAACAAATATATATATATATATATATATTAAGTTTTGCTCATTAATTTTTTGTGACATAAGAATAATTAATTATAATGTTTATGATAAAACTTTTAAAAATTTTCTTCTCAATATAAATTATCATTAAATTGGAGAATATTTCATCTTTCCCATAAGCATTGAATAATTTAAATGCATTTTTGGAATCTAAAGTTTTGTTCAATATAAAAAAAACTCTATTATTTGATTGTTGAATTTACTATTTAATTCTTTCAATTGATATATCATTCATTTAATATATTTTGATATTTTTGTTGCAGTGCTTTATAAAATTAGTTAGTAATAATTCTTATAATTTCTTTCATCAAGTGTAAAATAGAAGCAAAATCAAATGATATTAATGTTTTAAGAGCAATTGTAATATTATTTTATTGAAAATAAGTAGATCATATGACAACTATATCTTCAAGCTATTACAACAATTGAACTATATATTTATAAAAGATTACTATAGAATTGAAATGAGAATTTCATCTAGTGTCTCAAGGCTTATATATAATATATCAATTTAGGGGGCTGAAAATATATAATTCTTATATTTTACTAAAAAAATAAAAAGTTAGAGGGCCATGAACCTTGATGGTTCCCTTGCCTCCACCCCTAGTAGGAATATATATAATCACAAATGTTTTAATTTTAACCTGAGAGATGATTCTATGTAGCTGTCTAGTATTATATTGAGAAATGATTGAGAAAGAGATCAGGGTTGGTTAGTTATAATTAATTAAGCGTTTAAAAAATGCATTATATGATTAAAAATGGCCTGGTCCCTCCAGTTCCACTTTCGTTATCCATTATGAAGATGGATTCAGTACAGAAAAGGTTATGGATCAAGTAAACATGGGCCAAGTCGAGCCAAAGTTCAAATATATATTGCAACACCACGAAATAATGACAATGATGAAAATAATTGAGATCCTGATGAGAGAATTCAAACCAAACCAAAATTGTGATTGTGCTCTCTCTGTAATGCACTGCAATGTAATGGATGAGATTAGCACAATACTATATATATGCAGATTGAACCCACTTGCCCCGAACTTTTTGAAGGATATATTCCCCACACAAGTTTGGGAGATACACAGATTCTTCGTAAATTTCAGAACGCACTACCTTTGAATGCCTTTTTGATGTGTAATCGCATTTTGTGGTTCAGATCTTCACTCCTTAGCCATCAAACCTTCTTTTCAACGGTCCAGATGCAGACTCTGCATCACCATGTACCATGTATTCTCTTTTTCCCAAACAAGAAATTAACATGCCTCTTCGCTTCTTTGACCTAAGCAACTGGTTTCATTAATTCATTTTATCAGGGTCAAATAATTTAGATTTTTTGTTTATGTTTTATCTTCCATCATACAGTATCCTGAGAAAGGTAGAGCTATTACCATCACCAGCCTAGTTAAAGCGAACCCCCATCATGTGAGGTGAGGTGATTATTGTCAACAGTAGTTTTACAGGTGTCTAAAAAATATCTTTGACATATTATTTAATATAACTATATGTCCTAAGACTCAAATTCAAAGCCTAAGATAATTAAGTTAATTCAACTCTCTGAATCATGGAGTTTTTGTTATATGTTTAGCACATCACATGATAATTAATTAATTTGTATCCGTTATGGTTATGCACTTTTGTGGTAAACAAGAAAAAATGGTGCGAAAGTATATAGTTATAGGACTCGCATATCATCTTTTAGATTTCTCTGTTTTTTGTTTTTTAATATCTTTCCAGACATGTTATGTGGATTCACTTTCATACCAAAATAATATCCATGATATACTTGCCTCAATTATTAATTATTTATTCATCATTCCAATACGAAGAAAGTGCATCTAGCCAACATATATAGGTGCCTTATCCATTTTACCAATTGTATATTCTAAGAAAGTTAGAAAATACCAAACTTTTCTAGTTAAATTAAACCTTACTAAGGTTCCCATTATAAGAAAGAGGAAAAAAATATATACAAAACACAAAATTAAAACCGTAGAAAAATAATATATTCCTATACTGATGTACATACGTGTGCGTGTATTCTACAGCCACATACACCCAAATCTTGGGACCTTTTGATCACTAGTCCGAAATCATTTGCTGGCAAAAGCACATAGATAAGATAAAATATGGATATAAAACACACACACACACAATATTTATACATCCCCGCGCGCGCACATTTATATCCATATATAATATAAAATTCATAGTAATCCACAATATAATATTCATAAATTAAAAACAGGGTAACTTATCTACTTTACATAAAATACATGTCCATATATATATATATATATATATAGTCTTATTGTAATATGAGTTGGACTAGGACATGATAAACTGTATGCATGGTTACATAGTGTTAAATACTTTTACATTACTTATGTTATTATTTTGTAGATATTGAATAGTTTTACAAGCTGACTTTACATACAAAATAATTTTAAAAAAATATTATAAAACAGACACATACTTTTAGGCACGCCAAGCTCATGGCGGATCGATATATGTACACATATTCTTCTAAAAATGTTAGATTGTCAAATGTGAATGGACTTAATACTATAAGAAAAGTCTACAATAGATAAAGTTAAACTTAATAACTAATATATAATAAAGAAAAATGATTCATGAACTATTAAGATTTGAAGTTTTAAGTTAAGATGTGATGGTCTTTCATTATTTTCTTGCCCCTTGCTCCTCCCAGATTCCTGGGTGGTTGCTCTTCACGCCTAACAAGTGATATCAAAGTCAAATATCACTTGGAATCTATAAGCTCATTATCTTGCACATGTTTTAGGTTAGCCCTAAAGCAGGAATTTGGTGTTTGGTGTGTTATATATATATATATATATATATATAGGGAGTGTAAAATTGCCTAAATTACTCTACACCAAAAACTACTATGCCAAACACTATGATGGTAAGTAAGGATTAACTACCCAAGTTACCTTGCCATGGTAGAAAAGAATTGACTATAATTAAAAAAAAAAAGCTAACCATAGTAGAAAAAGAAAAGACCCAAGTTAAAAGTCTACTATGGTTAAAAAAAATAACAAATTAGACTATACCATGATAGAATAAGATTTACCATGGCAGATTGGATTAAACTATTTAATGTATACTAGTATACTCGAAAAAAGTTAAAACTTGACTTCAATAAAGTAAAATATCTCCAAAATCAGGATCCCATAATTAGAAACAAGTTTTCATAACAAGGTACATGGAAGGAAATTCATTTATAATTAAAGACATTGAAAATAGTAACTTAATCATTATTTTTTCCAAAAAAAAAGGACTCATCCATTGCAACAAAAAGGCATATCAGTTGCGACTAATGAGATCAAGGCCATCTACCACAGCGATGACACTACTTTAGCACTCAAGGTGAGCATTTTTGTGACATGCATTGTGGTGCACTGTACAAATCCGATAGCAATGATGCTGTCAAACTACAGCACTGTGGGTGAACTTCTAACGTACCTCATCCGAATTAGGTGATTTAGGTGTCCACAGATAGATTATTTAGTG